TTTTTTTTAATTTCTCGCATCCACATCCTGGTAGCTTCACGGTTTTTTACCTCCCTACCCGTAGTTAGGTTTTTCCCTTGACATTTTTTTATCCCCCACCTTTCCCCCCCAAGCCTCTAGGTATTTACCGCAAGATCCTGCTTTTCACATCAGGGTTGTAATTTTCTTCTCCTTCTACTCGTTCACGGTATCTCTAGAGTGCAGGGTATAAATGTGTTTGCTTTCTGGTTTTGTGACTTTTCTTCACGTGTGATCTGCCGCTGTTGTTTGCTCTCATTAGGGTCCCAAAAGGAAACGACTAGTCAGGTGTCTTAAAAAAAAAAAAAAAAAAAAAAAAAAAAAAAACGGAGGGGGGGGGGGGGGGGCGAGGGGAAGGAGGAAAGGGGAAAAAAACCAGATGCTGGTTAAAATATAAAGGGTAAGAACTCATGGTTACCATCTTAATTATGAAGTTTAATGATCCGATTTTATTTAGGATCCGGTCTTAATATCGATTTGGTTTTTGTTTCAGTGATGATTCCTTTTCTAGAATGTCACTTATAAGTTCCGATAGCCCTCTTTTGGGTCATTCATTTTCATAAACATTGTGCAATAATACTTTCTTTTAATTGTAGGAAAAAAGGGTTGCCTATTATCGGTATCAGTGGAGTTTGATGCAAAGAGACAGGCGCATCTCTGGAGTTAATCGTTACTATGTGTCAAAGGTAAGATAGCTCTGATGCTAGCCATGTGTCAGTTGAGATGGGTTCTAGTAATGTTTTGCCAAATGTCTCACAGTGCTAATTTCCTTTGTGTCTTTTATTCTGTGGATTGTCTGCCTGTGCCCTTTGCTTGTTCTTTTTATACACGCACCTACACATATATGTTATTTACATGTAATGACTATTAATCTTTTGTCTGTTGCATATGTGGTAGATCTTTTCCCCAGTCTGGCTTCTTCACTTTATGATGTCTTTCATCAGATAGGTTTTAATTTTGGTGTTCAGTTTATCATATTTTGTCATTCTGGATTTTGGCTCACAAATGACTCTCCTACCCAAGATTATTTATATATTTTAAAAATTCCTCCCCCCCCCCAAAAATACATATATATGTACATATATATATATATATATATATATATATATATATATACTTTTTTTTACATTTAGTGCTTTGACCCATCTACAGGTCATTTGGGGGTATAATGTGAAATCAGATTTTAACTGTACTTTTTTCCAAGGGATAGCCAGTTGTCACAATTGTCCATTTGTAGAACAGTCCATTTTTTTTTTAACATTTATTTTTGAGAGACAGAGAGATAGAGCATGAGCAGGGGAGGGGCAGAGAGAGAGAGGGAGACACAGAATCCAAAACAGGCTCTAGGCTCTGAGCTGTCAGTACAGAGCCAGATACCGGGCTCGAACTCACAAACCTGTGAGATCATGACCTGAGCCGAAGTTGGCCGCTTAACTGAGCCACCCAGGTGCCCTGAACAGTCCATTTTTTAGTTTGAAATACCATTCTAATAAACTAAATTTCCACGTACACATGGTCCTGTTTCACAAATACACTCTTCCGTACTCCATTAGTTTGCCAGTTCCTGCACCCAATGCCATAGGTTAAAGAATTACTCTAATTTTAAATTTGATTGAATCCTATGGAATTGCAGTTTTTTTGTAGATACAAAATGGCCAAGCAATAGCATTTTAATCTGATAAACCTAATAGTATATTCCTACATCTTGTAGGAGTTCATCTCCCATTATTCTTTTAAAAAATTGTAGTTACTTTTTAATATTCTCTCCTGGCTCATTTATTCTTCACAGTGAACCCAGGTTAATATTAGTTTCATTTTATAGATGAGAAAACAGGGTCGGTGACTATAAATAACACTCTAAGGACTCAAGCTAGGTGATCTGCTATTTGAGAATCTAATGTAATGAATGTGACGATCGATCTCTACTCAACTAAAGTGGTATTTCTCAAGGCACGGTCCAATAACCATCACAATCAGTTGGCGTAGGAGATAAAATGAAGATTCCTAATTAGAATTTCTACAGGGTGGCTCCCTGGGCCGTGCAGTTTTTATTTCTCGCAAGGTGATTCTTCCCGCAATAGTAAACAAGATACCTGGACTGTGTTATTTTAACACTTGGAAGAAATGTCATCGCTGATTAATCTTTTACTCTATGGTTTCTGAGGTTATTTGGTTGTGAGCTAAGTTAGAAAGAGTGGGTCTTCTGAATAAACAGTGTCTTGCTTACAGAGCCAAGAGTTCTGGAGGTGGGGGTCCCTGACCTTGAATTCTGGCTCTGCCACTTTCTTACTGACTTAAGCAAGAGACTTTTAAGCAGTCTCCATTTGTCCACGTGTAAAAAAGTAGAATGAGGTTGACAGTATTTTCCTCACGTTGGCTGTTATTATTTTTTTTAATGGTTTTACCTTACTGTCCTCTGACTCTCTGAAGGATCCAGACGGTTAATAGTTGCTTGACTTTAGTTCTGATGGGGTGGGTTGGGGGGGGGGGTCTTTTCATATAAAGTGATATGTTTGCTGCTGTCAGAAAATGAAAACTAGACATCCTTATAGCTTACTCTTTTTACTTTAGTGATTATAACATTCAGTTCACTTTATTGTTGCAGTTAGAGAAATACGGATGTGCAAGTACTTTCTTTAATAAAATGCCATTTGGGGACACTGGAAGTAAGGGTACAGGCATACCTCATTTTATTGCACTTATCGATATACAGTACTGTGCTTTTTTACAAATTGAAGGGTTGGGGTGGCCCTGCATCGAACAAGTCCGTCAGCACTATTTTTCCAACAGCATCTGCTCAGTTCGTGTCTCTGTACCACATGTTGGTAATTTTCGAAATATTTCAAACTTGTCATTATGAATATATTTGTTACAGTGATCTGTGATCAGTGCTTATGACTCACTGAAAATTCAGGTGATGGTTGCATTTTTTAGCACTAAAGTACTTTTTATTTTTAAGAAAACATTTTTTAGCACTAAAGTACTTTAAAACTAAGGTTTGTACACTGTTTTTTTAGACCTAATGCTATTGCACAGTTGAGACTACAGTATAGTGTGAACATAATTTTTATATGCACTGGGCAACCAAAAAATTTATCTGACTGACTTTACTGACGTGGTCCGGAACCAAACCTTCAAGATCTCTGATGTATGCCAGTACATGCACATCTTTGGTGGGAACAGAATTCTCACATTTTCCTTTTTATACTGTTTTTCAGGGTTTGGAAAATATTGATTAAAGAAGCCTTTTCCTGACCGATGAAGATTAACTCAGTTATGCTCATCTGCCCTTTCTAGAAGGTTATGCAGTCTATCAATGTAGTACATAATAAAAACAAAAAAGCAAAACCAAAGGCTTTCTCTACTTTTTTTTTTTAAATAGTACTAAACAATCTCAAGCAATCTACCCAGTGTAGCTTTATCACTTTAAAAAAAACTAGGGGCGCTGGGTGGCTCAGTCCGTGATCTCACAGTTCATGAGATTGAGCCCCATGTCAGGCTCTGCGCTGATAGCACAGAGCCTGCTTGGGATTCTCTCTCTCTCTGTCCCTCCCCTGCTCGCTCTGTCTCTCTCTCAAAATAAATAAACTTAAAAAAAAAGGATCTTTCCTCTTAAAAAAAAAAGTAGAAGGCAGCTGAGGCTTAAAATGATAGATGTACACCAAGCACCTGTCAGTGCCTAATGTGTCATAAATGGTAGTTGTTACTATTGGAGTAGATAGGAATACATGAACAAAGACCTCATTCCTTCAGCGGTTGCTAGTAAAATATAGTTCCTTTCTAGTTCCTTTTCTGGGTGATTCCTATTGTGTTAAGTTCCAGGTAGAATGCTTTTATATTAAGTTTAAAGTGTTTAGTGATCTCTACACCTGACATGGGGCTTGAACTCAGAACCCTGAGATCAAGGGTCGCACGCTCTTCCTACAGAGCCGGCCAGGCGCCCCCAGGTAGGATGTTTTTAAAGCTGAGCTTGCACCTTGAACTTCCATGCACTCTGCATCTGACACATAGGATTCACTCAAGTGCCGATTGTTGTCTTAGTGGGGAGCAGCGGCAAGACTCGTCATTCTATTAACATGAGTACACTGACTGCTTGAAATAAACACTTGCACGTTCACCACTAAAGGTAAGCAGATAATCTGAAAAGCTGTAACCCCTAGAGACATGGTGCTGTCCTGTGTGTGTAGATGTGTGTGTAGATCAACCCCCAAGGCGGCCACAGGACCCGTTCTCTTCTCCATCTTAACGTCTGACGTGACCTGGCCCGCTGTCGCACTGTGCGCTTTCCATTGAACCCCTGCCGCCGGGCAGGGCTTACGGAGGAAGCAGGTGGCGGCGTTCATGCTTCGAGCGTTATTCTCTATTGTGCTGCCCGGGGATGAGAAACTGTTCAAGGAAAGCCACGGCCCCGATGACACACTTCATGCAACCTCTAGTCCGCATTTAGCACCACACAGGCTCACTTTGTTGACTGTCATGAAAACCATCTCTGGGACGGAAGAGGCAGGGAGTAAGGATGGGGATGTGGAAGACCTTGACAGCATTACTAAATCCATCGCTGAGTCTCTGGATTTTTAGGTCTGTTCTGTCTACTGTGCCTCAAGGTGGGGATCATCCACTAAGGGTATCTGCTTAGATGGATTCGGGGCTGTTCAGTGGAGGGCCACAAAATGACAGGTAGAAATCAGTCGGTCAGGTTCAGCATGAGGGTCTGAATCCTTCACCTCCCTCTTTTCTGGAACCTGCCATGAAATTTCACTTCATCATTATAGTCTGCGGCCAGGGAGTGAACCAGGTGAAAACACCGTAGGTAGAAGATGACAGTGGTGTTTGGTCGCCTGCGTCTCCCTCGATTCTTTGCAGGTGCAATTAGCCAGAAGTGTTTTCTTCCAGCAGCTCTGACAGGTGGTCAGGGCACTGACCCCTCTCCCACCCCTGGTCCATAGCCACCTGCTCTTCAGGTTGAAATGATGCTCGGGAAATGACGCCATTCATTTGGTTTTATTCACTATCTTTAATTTTTTAAATACTCTAGTCACACAGCTCAAACATCTAACAATATAAGGTATTCAGTGAAAAGACTTGTTCCAACGCCCTGCCCAGCCCCTCCCCATCGACACACCACCCTGAAGGATCTCTCTGTGTGCGCATACATACAAACACACGTCGGTAAGCGCGTAACAGCTGACACACAGTTTACCTTTACGTCACTTGTTTGGAAGAATGGTTCTCGCTTGAAATTACGTCTGCCAGGCTGCTGTAGTTATTTCTAGGGTCAAATAACAGTTGATAGGAAAAGACTTTGAAAAAGGTTAAAGGTCCTACACGTTCAGAAGGGGAGGAAGAGGATGATCCTGCCCTTTGGGAAGCATTTTTAAGTGGAACATTTTTGAGAAAACCTTCTAGAATCAGCAGTCCAATTCCTTTTTCTTTTTTTTTAAATATGTGGTGTGGGTTTTTTTTTTTTTTTTTTTTTTGAGACAGAGCGCGTGCGCAGGCGCGGGCAGGGGAGGGGCAGAGAGAGAACCCCAAGCAGGCTTTGCGCTGTCAGCGCAGAGCCGGATGCGGGGCTCAGGACGCTTAGCCGACAGCCACCCAGGCGCCCCAGCAACCCAATTTCTAAGGACCCTTAGACATTTCGTCCAAACTCCCATTCCTCAGAGGAGGAAACAGAGGCTCAGGGGCGGGAAGCAATCACTTAGCTGGGGCGCAAGTGGGAGCAGACTCCTGGTGTTCTCACTCCCAACCCAGCATGCTTTCATCTCTTCTTGGGGGGTTCGCGTCTGTAAACACCGCTGAGTAAATGCTGCCTGCCAGGCACTGTGCCTCAGACTCGAATAAGTCACAGCCTCGCCCTTCAGGAGCTCCCAGTAGCGTGAAGGGCAGTTGATGACAGGACGGGGTGAGGCGTGCTCGGAACGGAAGCTGCAGAAGGTGCGGGAGCACGGAGGTGGGGCTTGAGGAGGGGAGAGGGGAAGGCCACGGGCTTAGGGTAAGTTTCCGGGCGATGCCTACGCTGCTAGGCACGTCTTGAAGGCTGGGTAGGATTTGCGAGCTAAGCAAGCGAGGGGGAGGGCACGCCACGCAGAGAAAGGGCATGAACGTGGGCGCACAGACTGGCACAGCCGCGTGGGAAAGAGCTATGAGCGGTTGTGCCCTGGAGCGGAGCGTGGGGCGGGAAGGAGGGGGGAAGAGGGACTGGAGAGGCCGGCAGCGCCCAGAACCCGAGGGGCCTGGTCTGTCTCCTTCAGGCTGTCAGACTCGCTTCCTGGGACAGCTGGGAGCCCCTGCAGGGCGGGAAGCAGGGGTGAGATGGTGACGGGCCCATTCCTGCCTGGCCGCGCTGCAGAGCGAGGGGACAGAAAGCCGTGCTTCAGCCCCGCCCCCGCCGCGGAAAGTTTACTTTTCCTGGGGCGCTGCTGACACCTAGTGGAACGAGGCCAGCAGTGCTTCTAAACCTTCTAGGATGCACAGGACGCCCGACCCAGGACGGCTCCTTTTCCGAAGGGCTGACGTGTGCCGTGGAGCCTCAGCGCCGGGGATGTGTCAGGCGGCCCCACCGCCTGTCGGCTGTGTGACCTTACGCAAGTCACTTCACTGCTCTGAGCCTCAGGTCTCCCATCTCTCACGTGAGGATAGTATGTGCCCCGCACACGTCCCTGCGGATCTGAGACTGCCACGAAGTCGTGTCCGTGAAATGGTTTGCACCCACAGCCCCGCACATGCGGAAGGGATCGTTGCCGGCACTGCACGCACCCCTCGAGTGGCTGGCCAGTCCACCCCTAGGTCCCCAAAAGTCACCCAAGTGTGGCGTCGGGGGCCCCTGAGGCCCAGCGTGTAACCAAGTGCAGGGAGCGGTCTGGGGGTTCCCTCTTAGAATGAGGGATCGCAACTAAGGTCTTTCCAGAGCACTGCAAAGACAACAGGCCTTACAAAGCTCAACAAAGACACTGATCGCTCTGAAGGTATTTGCTGAAAGCAGAGAGGAGAACCGGCTTAACGCCACCGCCACCGTGAGAACCAAGTGCTGGCTTACCCCTCTCAGCAGCTGCCACTCGCTCCCTTCCAAGGGAAGGTGACGAGTGGCTGGGATTGAAGCCGGCCATCCTCGACAGGAAGCTTCTGGATGAAGGTAGGGGGTGGGGGCTGAGCGCTGAGCACCACTTGCTTTTCCAAGATTTCCCATCGTGCTGATACTTCTGTGACCCGAGAACACAAATTTTTATACCAGCCTTTTGTGAGACACAGGACACAAGGAGCAGTTACAGAGCTTTTTGTTCCCAGGTTATGTCGATGTGGACGTCAGATACCCAGAGTCTGGCTCTCAGCTTCTTGGCTGGGGTCTGTGTGTGCTTGTGGAACGCCCCTCTCCTCCCCCCAACTCATGCACAGCCCGCGGGCATCCTGCGCTGGGGTTCACCATGCTCTTAGAACCTTCACGTTTTGGGTGCACTGTTGCTCAAAGACAAGAGAAGGAAGTTTCTGTGAAGAAATCCAGGGCTGTGTTTGCACGCTCTAATTGCTAAGGGTCTCTCTCCCTGGCATATCTGTGTACCCTCGGTGTCCGATGCTGTTGGCTGGAATACGCTTCCCCACCCGCAAAGGCCCTTTTGCAACAAAGAGCCAAATCACTGCTTTGGGGATTTCCACAAATCTTCATTCGTGATTACAGCCCTAATTGTCCTTTTCTGGGCATGGCTTGAGAAAAGGGCCCAGCCGATCTTACTTGTGTAAACCCATGCAACTGGGAAGAAAAGGCCCTGTAACTGTTCCGTGCTTTATTAGTTGGGATACATTTTGTTTCCTCTGTTGTCCTGTTTCTTGGCAGATGCTCTTCAGTCCCAGAAGACAGGAAGATGAGATTTTGCCTTCTGGGCCTAATACCTTGTGTTTCTAAAGGCCCGAAAACAGGGTAGCCCCCTAGAAGCCCACTGTCCTCTCTTACCTGTAAGAGCCCCGTCTTGGGGCGCCTGGGTGGCTCAGTCGGTTGAGCGTCCGACTTCGGCTCAGGTCATGATCTCGCGGTCCGTGAGTTCGAGCCCCGCGTTGGGCTCTGTGCTTCGGATTCTGTGTCTCACTCTCTCTGCCCCTCCCCTGCTCATGCTCTGTCTGTCTCAAAAATAAATAAAATATTAAAAAAAAATTTTTTTTTAAAGAGCACTGTCTTTGGGGCGGGGTGGGTCAGGTCTCTACAGCAACCTTGGAATTTGTATCCAGGGCCTGTAAGAGCGGCCCACCGTACTTACGACCGTGGATGAGAATCAAGGCATCACCGTCAAAAAGTCCAGCGATCCGAGGGGTGCCTGGATGGCTGTCAGTTAAGTGTCCGACTCTTGATTTCGGCTCAGGTCACGATTTCAGGGTCGTGGGTTCGAGCCCCACATCGGGCTCTGCACTGGCAGTGCAGAGCCTGCTTGAGATTCTCTCTCTCTCCCTCTCTCTGTTCCCCCCTGCTCATGCTCTTTCTCAAAATAAATAAATAAACTTAAAAAAAAAAAAAAAAGTCCAGCGATCCAGAAACCGCTCTGCCACAGTGCTTTTGTTCTGAGCAAGGCACTGTTCAGTGAGGCACTCGCTCAATGGCAGACCTGTGTGCTCAGGATGGCTGGAACGTTCTGAGAGGTCACTGGGCAGCACAGTGCTCAGGGTCCCTGACCTTTAATGTTAGGGGATGGGCCTCAGCTGGGGAAAGGCCCTGGGCCTCCTACCTCCTCCTGCCCCTTCCTGGGACAGTCTGGTGGCCTTTTAGACCGGGAGCAAGAAGGTCATAGAGCCATACTGGCTTAGAACCTGCCCAAACCCAACGTGCCCTGCCACATTTGACTTACTAGTTGTCTCTCTTTTTAAAAATGTATTTATTTTAAGGGAGAGAGAGTGCAAGTGAGGGCAGAGAAGAGAGAGGGGGACAGAGGATACGAAGCGGGCTCCACGCTGACAGCAGAAAGCCCGACGTGCGGCCCGAACCCACGGACCGCGAGATCGTGACCCCATCCGAAGTCGGACGCTTAACCGACCGAGCCACCCAGGCACCCCGCTAGTTCTCTTCTAGCGTGGGCCTGCCTCATCTTCCCAACTAGACCGTCAGCGCGCCGAGGGTGGGGGCCTTGTCTTCTCCCCTTCACGTGCCCCCAGTGCCTGCCGCCCGTGCTTCACAGATAAGAGGATAAATGAGGCAGAGGTTGACGAGGTGAGCGTGAGGGTATTAGCGGAGGGGAGGGCAGAGACCGAGCGCGAACGAAAATGACTGCAGGGACAGAGGGAAGAATCCAATTCGGGGCCCACGGTGTGGACTCCCTCGGAGCGGGCCCCCGACTTGAGCTCTGGCCTCTCTTCCCTGTGCTCTGATGTCACCCACCTCCACCTGGAGGCCTCTCCCCACCCTGTGCTCAACTCGGGGAGAAGCTAACAGAGACCTGGGTCTCCAGAGCAACTCTCTCTCGGGAGCACAATATCCTTGGTACAAATTCACCCCCACTTCCCACACGCAGGGCCAGTGAGGTGCCTACCTCCCTCTCCGCTGGCGCTGTGTCCCGTGAGGCAGCCTCGGGACGCCCGGATGGACAGGGCGACGCCTGTCCGACAAGCTCTGCCCCTTGGTCTCCACGGAAGGGGATGCAACACCCACTCACTGCGGACTGGCCTTCCGGCGGCCAAGAAGGCGCCCTCGGCGCGTTCTGGAAGAGCCCCGTGGGCTTCTGTGGTGGCACGTCTGTGGGCACGGGCTCCGCGTGCTCTCAGGTGAACACAGGCGCGTCACTGGACCGCACGCTGGTGTCCGAGCCGGGAACCAGGGCTTGGGGGCTCCGAGGAGGCAGGGCTAGGTGAGGGGAGGCCCGTGGAGAGGTGGGGTGGGGGGCAGGTGCGGACTTGGGGCTTCCCGGTCCGCCGCATCCATCTGCTTCCTGGGGAACCAGGGGCTGGGCTGGGCTCGTCCTCCACCGTCCCGCTCGCTCCTCTGCCTCCGTCTCCGGGCCACACACACCTGCGCCAGGGAGAGCGAAAGCATCCGGCGTTTGGGAGAACCTGTCGCCGGCACTGCCCGAGTCCAATCTGGAGAGCCCGGGGCCGGAATCTGTGGCTTAGGTCAGGGGCTTGACTGGGGGAGGAGGTCAAGTCCTGGCCCACGGAGTTCAAGCTCCCACTTCAAGGAGGCGTCTTCTCTCCCGGCCTCCCCCATGAAAGCGTTTTGCCTACAAGGAGTTTCTCGTCACCTGGCCGCCTGTCCTTCTGCTCCGGGCCCTGAAGGATCCCAGCGCCCGGCCTCCTGGGTGGGGTTCTCACCGCACGCCTCTCACCAGCTCCCCATCCCCGCTTCTGAGGAAAGGCCCTGCTGCCTTCGGCCACCCACGAAACCTTGACACAAAGGAGGCCGGAGCTCTGCCCTTTGGGAACGCGGCTGCCGTGGATCCGGGCCCACCGTGGCCCTAGAAGGTTCACGGCAGTTGGTCTGGCGGGCCGCATGGGAGTCAGACCAGCGAGTGGCACTGAGGCCGGTCATCAGCACCGGGAGTGTTTTTGCTCTGGAGCCCACGTGCTCACCAGTGACAGTGTCAGGCAAATCCCTTCCTGGCTTGGCTGCTGGGCCTTGGGCCTAAACGGCGAGGGCTCAACACACACATTTGTCCCAGGCAAATTCGCCCAGCGTTGGGGGAGCACTGGACTCGGACTCCTCTATTCCTCCTAACTACTGCCTGTTGCGCACTTTCGGTGTGCCTTTCCTTCTTGTTTTATTTTATGTTTTTATGGTTTTTACTTCTTTATTTTGAGAGAGAGAGAGAGAGTGGGGGAGGGGGGGCAGAGAGACACAGAGGGAGAGAGAAAATCCCAAGCAGGCTCCACTCGGTCAGCACAGAGCCCGATGCACAGCTTCATCTCACAAACTGTGAGATCACGACGGGAGCCGAAATCAAGAGCCAGTCGCTTGGGGCGCCCGGGTGGCTCAGTCAGTGAAGCATCGACTTCGGCTCAGGTCGTGATCTCACGGTTCGTGAGTTGGAGCCCCGCATCTGGCTCTGTGCTGACCACTCAGAGCCCGGAGCCTGCTTTGGATTCTGTGTCTCCCTCTCTCTCTGCCCCTCCCTTGCTCGTGCTCTGTCTCTCTCTGTCTCAAAAATAAATAAAAACATTAAAAAAAAAAAAAGATTCCCATTGCACACATGAGGCTCAGAGAGGTGAAACAACCTACCTAAAGTCACACAGCCAGTACGTGGCAGAGCTGGGACGTGAAACCCTCTGTCTGCGATCAGAGTCTGAGTCCCTGTAAGCCACAGTACCTACCCCCTCGTCCCTCCCCAGTCCCGTTGCTCTGCCTCCCGCACTATCTTGGGGGCAGACTCCGTGCGTGGGACCTTGATGTGTGTGCCGGCTTCCCGGCAGTGAGCTGAGCGTTTCATCCTGGGTGAGGAGGGGACACTCGACGAATCACCTTCCTTTCTTTACTGCGACTGAGATGGATTGTCCGAGGGGCGGGGAGCCAAGCACTTCATACACAAAGCACAGTGGTTAAAAGCAGGGGTTGTGAGACGGAGGGACTTCACAGATCAATCAAATTAATAAAACTGGGTCCTAACGTAGGGTCAACCACTTTTGATTTCGCCGCATAAAAAAACATTTTCTACTACTACCGCTATCAATAATAATGCTAGAAATAGTATCTAACCATCATAAAGACAGCTTATGATGCACCAGGCACTGTTCTCAGTCTTTTTTTTGTTGTTTATTTATTTATTTTGAGAGAGAGCAAGCAGGGAAGGGGGGTGGGGAGAGAATTCCAAGCAGGCTCTGCACTGTGCAGAGCCCGACGTGGGGCTTGAAGTCACGAACCGTGAGATCACAACCTGAGCCGAAATTAACAGTCAGACTTCGGTTCAGGTCATGATCTCACGGTTCGTGGGTTCGAGCCCCATGTCGGATTCTGTGCTGATGGCCCAGGGCCTGGAGCCTGCTTCGGATTCTGTGTCTCCCTCTCTCTCTGCCCCTCCTCCGCTCATGCTCTCTCTCTCTCTCAAAAGTAAATAACATTAAAAAAAAAAAAAAGAAATTAAGACTCAGATGCTCAACCAACTGAGCTACCCAGGAGCCCCACTGTTCTTGGTCTTTACATGAATTGTCTGATTTGATCCCCACAAAAAACCTTACTCCATAGGCATTTTGTCGATGAGAAAACTAAGAAATGTTACGTCAATTGCTCCTGGGTCTATGCTGATAACCATTATGGCAGAAGCTCATCCTGGATTCATAAAGGGCATCTTTGAAAACAATCAAGCACACAAGGGAGGTCACCACCTCAGAATTTGGGTATAAAGAAGTAAGAAGGCACCCGGGTGGCTCAGTCGGTTAGGCGTCCGACTTCAGCTCAGGTCATGATCTCACAGTTCGTGGGTTCGAGCCCCACATCGGGCTCTGTGCTGACAGTGCGGCCCCTGCTTGGGATCCTCTCTCCCCCGTTTCTCTGCCCCTCCCCCGCTCGCTCTCTCTCTCAAAATAAATACATAAAAGAAGACATAAGGAGCTCAGTCGGTGTAGTCAGGCAGCACTGGGTTGAACCCTCTCTGTGCCTCAGTCTGTTCCCCTGTAATGAAAATATTAACACTTGCCTTATGGGTTGTTGAGAGAAATAAAAGACTTCACACATCCAGAGCTCCTTTGCACAGCAGCTGGCACATAAAAAGGACCCCTGTAGTTACCAGCCGTGAGGCTTATCGTCGCTGTTCCTCCTGGCACAGCCCCGCAAGATGTACTGGGCACAGATTCTACTGTGTGGGCCTGCTCTGGAGGTCATGCTGTTGCGTGACCGACTGTCCCCCCTCCTTCACTAACAGAAACAGCCAGAAATTGTTTCTCATTGGTGGAAACTGGTGTTGCCCTGGCAGCATTTGTAAACATTCTGCCTGGGAACCCAGGGGAAAAGCAGCTGGGAATCTCTTTCTGAGGCTTCCTTGGCCAGTACTGTTCCAAACAACGATGTGACCAGTCAGGTACCTGGTGTTGTTAAGGGTGGGAGGGCCTTGCAACGGGGCGTCCCCCGTCATCACCCAGACCCCAGACTTGACCACACCCTGGCCCTTTTCACCCATGCTTGCGCATCTGGCCTCTCGTTAGGAAGGGAAGGGGGGAGAAAGAACTAGGACAGGCCAGTGGGAGGGATGCTTAAGAATGATTTGTGCCCAGGGGCGCCTGGGTGGCGCAGTCGGTTGAGCGTCCGACTTCAGCCAGGTCACGATCTCGCGGTCCGTGAGTTCGAGCCCCGCGTCGGGCTCTGGGCTGATGGCTCGGAGCCTGGAGCCTGTTTCCGATTCTGTGTCTCCCTCTCTCTCTGCCCCTCCCCCGTTCATGCTCTGTCTCTCTCTGTCCCAAAAATAAATAAACGTTGGAAAAAAAAATTTTTTTTAAATAAAAAAAAAAAGAATGATTTGTGCCCAGGGGCTCCTGGGTGGCTCAGTCGGTTAAGTGTCCAACTTTTGGTTGTGGCTCAGATCATGACCTCGCGGTTTGGGAGTTCGAGCCCCACATCGGGCTCTGTGCTGACAGTGCACACCCTGCTCAGGATTCTGTCTCCCTGTCTCTCTCTCTCTCAAAAATAAATACATAAGCATTAACAGACCAAATTTACCGGTTTACCAAAAAACTCCATTGTTGTCTTTAACTGCGGAGTTTATAGCAAATTGCTGTGGCTGCATTGGCACAACCCTTGGGCTGGGCAGAGCCAGTTCTCCAGGGTTAAGGGCCTTCAGATCCCCTCGTCTGCCAGCCTCCAGTCTCTCCTCACTCTGGGACGGACAGCCTGGGGAGACTCCGTTCCCCCAGCACACGGCCTTGTCCACCCACTGGATGCAACAGGGCACCGAGGCAGATGCAAACGGAGCTCCAGATGCTAATGTGAAGACTCAAATGCACACGGGTCAGCATTATTACTGAATGTTTAAAAGGCCGCTCAATCCATTGCTGGGCTGATGGCCACAGCAACCGGGCTGCCCCACGCAGCACCCGCCACACCCCGGAACCAACGATGACACTGAGAAAGGGAACAAAGAGTGACCCTTCTTGAAAGAGGCCCACGGAAAGCAACTGAGCCCATTCTGGACTTCAGATGGAAATGTGAGAACAGGGCCCCGCAACCCTTTGTGAATCCTGGAGGGAGGAGAGCCGGGTGGCTAAGCGCGCTCTCTCTCTCTCTCTCTCTCTCTCTCTCTCTCTCGCTGGGACTGTGGAGCCAGATAGTCTGGGTGTGAACTTGGCCTTCTTCTTTTCATGTGGTAACGAGAGTCTCTCTCTTTATGACTCAGGGTCCCAGCAGGAAACTTGGCATACTAAAAGTAGGGCAGGTAGAGAAGGGTTAAGTAGAGGGAGTGTTTACAAAGGCGTGGGCAGAACTAGGGAGACAAGGGCAAGTGCAGCTCCCCGGGGGCTAGAATGGCGGATCCACTGGGCTGGAGGGGTGAGGATAAACTCCTTTCCGGGATTGAGAAGTGAGACAGCTACCCTGGGAATATATAACTTGCCCGCACTCTCCTCTCTCATCCTGGTCTCCACATTGTGCAGAATCTCCTGGAAGCCAGAGGACATGGGAGAGTCCACAGATGCAGTCCAGTGAGGTCAGCCTTCCAAGGCAGAGAGCAGGATGCACGGGGAGGAGTGGATCCGAAAGGGGCAAATGAAAGGTGGCCAGTGCACAATGTCGTGGGGCCGGGGGTGAGTTAAACGAAACGTACATTAAACACCCAAAATTGGGAGATGCTATTTATAGAAAAGTAAAGGGAGAGAGAGATCTACTTTTTTTAAATTAAAACAATTTTTTTTAAATGTTTACATTTGAGAGAGAGAGAGAGTGAGCGAGTGAGAAGGAGAGGGGCAGAGAAAAAGGGACACAGAATCTGAAGCGGGCTCCAGGCTCTGAGCCCGTCAGCACAGAGCCTGACGCGGGGCTCCAACTCATGAACTGTGAAATCATGACCTGAGCCGAAGTCAGACACTTAACCGACTGAGCCACCCAGGTGCCCCTGGAGAGATCCACGTTTACACAGCACCCCACCATGTAAGGACTGCCTGCAGGGATGTTTAACTGTGCTAGAACTGATTTCTCATAACTGAAGAGACTTAAGTGGTAGCCAGGGAAGACAGAGAAGAAAAGATGTGAAAAAGACGGAAAATGTGCAGAAGTTCCTAGCGCTGTGAGGAAGCCTTGTTCGCAGGCCTAATAACTATAACTTTCACAATCTCCACAGATGTTAAAGACATATGGAAAATTTTAGCGATCATCTATGACAAACGTTGTACAAAAACAGAAGCAAACGTAATTTCTTGATGTGATAAATCTCCAGCCATAAACCAGCAACATACTTTGTGATGTAGCAGCAGAAAGCACGCCCCCTGAAGTCAGACGCAAAAGAAGGATGCACATTGTCTCCACTTTCACTTAACATTTGTCTGGTGGTGTTAACCAAAGCGAATACTTAGGAGAGGTATACGTGTCAGGAAAAAAAGATGGTAAAAAATGATAGTTCCTGATGGATGGTATAATTCGTACACCTGGAAAATCCAAGAGAAAAAACTGAAAATCCACCCCTCCTAGGCTATATTGCCTCTAATGACTTTAATTCACTTCATTTTTTTAATGTTTATTTATTTTGACGGGGTGGGGCAGAGAGAGGGAGGGAGAGAATCTCAAGCAGGCTCCACACCCAGCTCAGAGTCTGACATGGGGCTCGATCTCACGATCAGGAGATCAGAAGCTGAAGCCGAGCAGAACTCAAGAGCCAGACGCTTAACCAACTGAGCCACCCAAGAGCCCCTAATTCACTTTAAAGAGCCACATGCCCTGAGTCACCTAAGTAGGGATTGAGACTCAACTAGAAATCAATATTGTTAGAACTCCAAAGAAGTTAGGACTCATTCTACTACACACACACATATATATATATATATATATATATATATATAATTTTTTAAAGTTTATTTGTTTTGAGAGAGACTGTATGTGAGCGGGGTGGGGGCGGGGGGAAGGGGGCAGAGACAGAGAGGGAGAGAGAGAATCCCAAGCAGGCTCTGCAGGGTCAGTGCAAAGCCCAACATGGGGCTCGAACTCAAGAAACCGTGAGATCATAACCTGAGCCGACATCAAGAGTCAGACGCTTAGTCGACTGAGCCACCCAGGAGCCCCTCTACTACGTCCTGATGAAGGTGTTCATGATTATGGGAATGTGAAAATCCTTGGTTTTCAGGAAAAATAGATCTCTGAAGCCAGGCACAAAGGATAAACCACAATGCCTTATTCAGGGTCCTATCCTGAGCCTTAAGTCCCTGTTGCCCCCTAGAGGCAACAACCTTTTCCTATGTCTTGTTATTCTTCGAGTGATGGTCCGTATTTAGAGGAGTGAGTTCATGCGCACATGCGTAAAAGGTGTCTTCTTGAGTTCCTTTTTTGCAGGCAAAAGGAGATGGTTGGGACTAAAGGAGTCACAATCCAGGAGAAAACGGATGTGACTGAAAGTTCCAGGTGCCAGAAGACGGACACAGAAGACAGCAGCAATGTGAATGAACTAGCTCTGGAGATAGTTAAGCGTGCCATTGCTGCTGCTATCAAGTTTGTGGAAGGTAGTAATCCTGTTTGGCTATTTGGAGGAATGTCTCATTCTACGATGGCACACTACCAGGCAACTGACAGACTCTCCCCTTTATTTTGCAGAAACTAAAAACCCCATCAAGAACATCCAGTGGCTCACCCATGGTGAATTCACAGCAGAGAAAGGCCATAGACAAATTGAGAAGTTTATTTTGGTAAGTTAGTTGACCACTCCAGGTTGGCATACGAGGGCAAAGAACAATGAAAAGGAGTGTTTTATGAAAAGTTTGAAATCCAGGACCCCTAGATGATCTCAAAGGTCGCTAAATACATAAACACTGTCCCCATCTGGGTCCCAAAACCAACATGGGATAGTCTTTGAAGGTGAAAGGCACAATCGTATTGCCCTGTTTTTTTTTTTCAACGTTTATTTATTTTTGGGACAGAGAGAGACAGAGCATGAACGGGGGAGGGGCAGAGAGAGAGGGAGACACAGAATCGGAAACAGGCTCCAGGCTCTGAGCCATCAGCCCAGAGCCCGACGCGGGGCTCGAACTCACGGACCGCGAGATCGTGACCTGGCTG